CCCCCCCCCCCCCCCCCCCCCCCATGTATAATATAGTCTGTTTGTTTTCTTTCCTATGTAGCAAATTGGGACTACAATCTAAATGTCGTTGTGCAACTCTATCGTACAATGACAAAGATGACGGTACAGTAATTATTATCATCAAAAGCACTTTAACTATATTTATATTACTGTATTTACATGCGTAACATTTACGTTCAGAAGCAGAAACAGTTCTTCCATTTTAAAATAAATGTAGTTATAAGTTCCAAGACAAATTGGAGCAAGACATGTAAAAATGTGTGCATTGTAGAAAAATAGAAGCACATGTATACTGCAATATAGAACAATAGTGTAAATAATAGGGTCCATGATTAAGCGTTTAAAATGCAACAGTATGAAGTTGGATGTACACTGTCTTCTGCCATATCGGAACGCTACCAACCAAGAAAGTGGTTTCACTCGCATGCTTTGACAGAATATTGACGTTCTTGAATTTTCGCTGTTAACAATGGACGTCTTACACCAACGCTCTCCCAGGATCTCCTGTTATGGATTCAATTTTATATTGAAGAAAGGTTAATTATTCTCCTCATGCATTTTCAGAAAAATGAGTTCTTCAAAAGCCTCTAAAAGAACATAATTACGGGCTGAGATTATGGGTTCAGTGTGATGACAGCGTGTCAGGAAAGAAGCGGCTCTGTTAAGCGAATGAGCCGTAATTATTCTCTCAGTGGTTGAAACGAGCAGGCGGCTTGGTACGCAGATAGTGGAGGATGTTTCTCAGCCTTCTGTGTTTCACTGTTCTCATTCAAATGTAATGTCCTCTTTGGATAAAGGGTTCACTTTTCATTCCCTTGAGATAACCAGATAGGTCTATTTTTATTTATTTCTTACGTCACAATTGCGGTGTTGTGCTGGTGACAATCAAACTACCGAGTGATGCCCTGGATGTTCTTTAGAAAGCAGTCCTCTGCAGCCCTGGAGTGGTTCACATGCAGACCGCGTCTCTCTCTCTGTGCATAGGGTGACAGCAGAACGGAGAGGTGAGGCACAATCCCACTGGAGCCAACGATGGGGGTAAAGGCAACTTGTGAGAAGTTGAATATTTCGGAGGAATTCAAGTGCTTGTCAAATTCATTGGAGAACATGTGAAATATGTGAGTGGGTTTGAGAGCGTTTGTGACCACGAAATCCAGTGAAGTTCATTCGGTTGAGCAGTGATGTCTGATCATATTTTTCTGGAAAAACGCTGAATGAATTGTGAATAAATCTCTTCCGCATTCGGGTTCGGCTGAATGGACACTTACAAGGACGAGTATTCACATGTTAACATTGAGACAGAATGGAGCATTAACATTTCAAATTAAAGGCCGACAAGAGCTGCCTTCTGAACAAAATCCTTCATTCAAGCATAATGGTTATGTGGCTTTCTAACACAATCCTTGTGTGAATATAAAGACGTCGTCGTCATATTTTTAGAACAAATCTCATGGTTTGGTTGTTTATTGAAAACATGTTGTACTCTCAACATCTCATTTCAAGGCTTCTCCGTCAAAATGGTGCAATGTAGAGTCTGAGTTAAAGCGATCAGCTGACAGAACAATTGTTCAACATTTGAATAGAGTCCTGCAGGGATGAAGTTAGCATCACATTGGTTCCCTCGATAAAAAGCCATTTGGATTCTTCCACAAGATGTTGGATTAAACCAGAAAATAAGCTCTGTGGCAAACAAACGTTTATAAAACTAACAAGTTTTGTTTTGCAGGATCATGTTCGCAAGTGAACTCCACTTTTATGATTTTTGAAACGTGAATATAATCAGCAGAAGTAACAAGCTAACGTTAAGCAATAAATTAACTACATCACGGTTTACAGTCATGGATGGATTGAACAGGCCTATGAGACACAGGACCAGGGGCCCAAAGTGTCAGGGCCCCCCCCCTGGCCTTCAACTATACAAAATGTCACTCAAATGGACCTGTACCGACCAAGAAGAGAACCCCAAAATAACCCCAAGTTATAATAAAACGACTACAAAACTAAGAGATTCCCAACGACTGAAAAAGGGGCAAATCAACCACAAAGAGACTCAAAATAACTACAAAGAGACTTAAAATAACTACAAAGAGACTCAAAATAACTAAAAAGAGACTTAAAATAACTACAAAGAGACTCAAATCAACCACAAAGAGACTCAAAATAACTACAAAGAGACTTAAAATAACTACAAAGAGACTCAAAATAACTACAAAGAGACTTAAAATAACTACAAAGAGACTCAAAATAACGACAAAGAGACTTAAAATAACTACAAAGAGACTCAAATCAACCACAAAGAGACTCAAAATAACTACAAAGAGACTCAAAATAACGACAAAGAGACTCAAATCAACCACAAAGAGACTCAAAATAACTATAAAGAGACTCAAAATAACTACAAAGAGACTCAAAATAACTACAAAGAGACTTAAAATAACTACAAAGAGACTCAAAATAACTACAAAGAGACTTAAAATAACTACAAAGAGACTCAAAATAACTACAAAGAGACTCAAAATAACTACAAAGAGACTTAAAATAACTACAAAGAGACTCAAAATAACGACAAAGAGACTCAAAATAACCACAAAGAGACTCAAAATAACTACAAAGAGACTCAAAACAACTACAAAAAGAGGCTAAACAGCTGTCAAGTCTGTGTGTCTTGCTTCTATGTCGGAGAGGTGGTGGGACCTTTTGGACTTGGATCTAATAATTCACCACGGTCACATGACTTCACATGACCACCACTAAGCTAAAGTGGGACTAGTGTTTGCCGTGATAACGTCTAGTCATCTCATTTAACTACTTGTTAGCAGTAGTAGTAAAAGCTTAAATTCACGAGAGAGGTATTCACTGACTCATTTTATGTCGTAGTTAAAATCTCTTAAGCAGGTGTTAACCACAGACCTTATTTCAGGCATGTAACCAAAACCACATTCATAAAACCACATGACTTGAGACGAGGGAACCAGAACTGCAAAAATGCAATGTCGGGGTTTTAGGACTCATTCCTGCAGCACTGAATGCTGTCGTAGTCTTGAATAAATGATTTGCAATTGCAAGAAACCCCTGTTTGTCTCTATTAAGACACATCAGAATCCACTAAAAACAACCTCTTGAGCCAAACGTCTTTTATTTCCTCTTCTGAAATTCACTTTGTCTTCTTGCTTTTTGGCCTTTTGGTCTTCGCTCCAGATTTGGCGGCTTCATCCTGTGAAACGAGAGCAAAGGGTTAAAGAATGAACAGACTCATAATTATCTTACATTAGCGCTCCACTTAATGGTGCCAAAGCTTTTTACATGTTTAGTATTTAAGAGCTGTTTTAAAGCTCATTGCTCAATGTTCCCCCGAACGCCTGCTGAGTGTCCCTGGCTTACCGCAATGTGCAAATTACAATGTACTGATTGGCATTCCCCCAATGTATTCAAACAATTGCATCTATCCAAACATTGCACTCTTAAGTACTCTTATAAATCATCCTCCACTAATTATTGCTCTGACAATCTTGTAGACCTCCCCACATTTTTACAGCCTTGTCTTTACAAAAAGCAAGTCTAATTGATAATTCTGTTTCATACAGCAGAGTGGAAACTTCTCATATGCTCGCTGCTCCTTCATATCTCATATGGTGTCTGCAATGGGGCGGTAAACCAGTCATTCTCCAGCACTTGTCCTCCCAATTACCAGCTAACGGGAAGTAGCGTTGTTACTGTTTTTAATGAGTGACTCACATGCTACAAAAATAACTGGCAGAGACCTTTGAGAAGGTGTGAAACTGGTTCGGCTCTCTATTTTCCTCCTAAATCCAATCAAAGTATTCAGAGATTTTATCTCATTTTGCATTCAAGCAAAATAGTTCTCACTCGCTCCTCCCAGGAGTAATTGTCCCGTTTCCAATTTACACTTTACCTCAAAAATACAAATGAGGCACCTGGACAGAATTTCAGGAACTGACTCAAATAGTTTTGCTTCTTTCTCAGACAATAGGAAGTTTCTGATTTCCATCAACAACATATCTTACAGATTAAATCGGTGTACCTAAAGGATCAAAGTCTGGGTCCCATTTAGTTTTCCAATCTATGCTTCTTGTTGCCAAGAGTCTCGGCAACTTTATTCAAAATCAAAGAGGCATTATTGCCATAAAAGTATCAAGAACAATGTTGCCAAAGCAGCAAAATACAATTTGGACAGTACAGAGTGATATGAGCATTAACATTGATATGTATAAATTATATACATATAGTATTTGTGAGTGTGTGAATGTTTAGGCAGCGAGATTTCATTAATCTAAGTTCATTCAGCTCCCTCTGTAGATATGAACGGCTTATTTTAAGCTAACGAAAGCAAAACGATCGTTAGATTCAGGGGATTATTATACACGATCGAAAACATAGGTATGAACATTATATTCCATTTCTGCAAACAGATCCCTCTTAATTCTACACACTGGTCGTTTACAGCAGTGTTTCCCAGAGGCCGGGTCGGTACCCACCGGTGGGTCGCAGTAGATTCTATTAAGGTCGGCAAATCATTTAGCTGAATTTCTTCCATTGAAACCGCGCTCTCTCTGTACATAACGAAACTGCCCAGACTGAGCTTTATTCCACAATTATCAAACCTGTAACAACAAATAAATCCCAGTATAACATTTGACCCCAGCTTAACCTCTTAACGTCATGTCACTACGTTGTTTATTGACGTTTTAAACATCTTAGGAGCATCGTGGAGCAATTTTCAGGGTGTTTAAAATCCCATCTCCTGGAGATTTTTATCAGGGACTCTTTTTTGACCTGTCAATCAAAGCTTTAGACAAGCTTCAGGCAACTAACACCAAGCAGTTTGTTTTAAAAATCAATTCTAAACTGTTATTGGTTGTTTTTTAAAACCACTCGATGAACTATAATCAGGCTATTCTGCAGAGAAGTCCCTCCGTTCACGGGCAGAGGCCCGTAATTAGCTGTCCACAGGGGGAACCCAGCCTTTGCTGTCGGGGTGGGAATAACATCATGTTCTGAGAGCTGATGGGGTTTTGAAGTTGGATATTTTTTAAGAGTGGGTTTTCGGTACCTTTAATCTATCCGAGGCAGCACCTCAAATGTCAATCACGTTACCAATGGAATAACTTCGATATACACAAAGACGACTTCAAAGCGGACTGGACCCAACTTCAGGCTGGTGAGAGCGAGGAGAGAGTGTTTGATCTCTAGAACATGTGGCCACCAGACACTTCAAATGAAGCCGTATCCCTAATGTGACAGCTGCTGAAGAGTTACTGTGGAAACAGACCCTCTGTGGTTTAATAATGCATCTATGTGTCACTATAACCTGTAGCTATATACTGTCTGAGACTGTCTTCTTTTTTGAACTTCAGACTATGGATTGGTTGTCAAAAGGGGAAAAAAGAAAATCTCTGGGGAACACTAGGGTAAAGGCTTAAAACTTCAAGATACCGGGGCGACTTGATAGCCAAGTGATTAGGGCGCATACCACATGGGCGCATATAAAGACAAAACGCAACCATAGACTGTATATAAAGAAGTGGATGTAGTGACGCCGTATACGTCTCAGGTAGACCTCTCAATCACAGGCTCCGCCCTAAAGCATCCCCTGCGTTATGGTCTGTTTGACTCTAAATGGACCATAATGTACTAAATGAACATCGTGCTGTATTGAAGAAGACTTGAAACTAGAGATTGAGACCATAAACTCATGTTTACAATGTTTACTGAGGTAATAAATCAAGAGAGAAGTAGAGTCATTTTCTCATAGACTTCCATACAATTGGACTTCTTTTTGCAGCCAGAGGAGTCGCCCCCTGCTGGTCAGTAGAGAGAATGCAAGTTTTACCGGAAGTTGCCGCCTGCACAGAACGTGTCAAACTGTGAAAACCACACCCACTGGAGAGGAAAACAATCAGCGCCGCAATATGCAACCAAGCGCTGAAACGCGAACAAAACGTCTGTAGCTAGCTAAAAACATCAGATGTCAGCTTATCAAAGTGTTATTTTACCAACCTATGTCTAACAGGGGTGCAGTTTATAACTAACATGACAATGGTACAAGTTAGCTGTCAGCGAGCTAATGTTAGCAAGCTACTGTTGTTAGCTAAGGCGCTTGCAAACCTAAACCTAACTAAGTTAAGTTTGTAAGACATCATACGAACCATTGTATGAGGAAACGTCAATGCCCTGAGCAGCGAGTCCCCGTTTTGATTCCCGGCTGGACAGACTGTCTGCTGCATGTCATTCCCTGACTCTTTTTAACACATTTTTCCTGTCTCACTATCAAATAAAAGGTATAAAATGCTACAAAAACTACAAGATACAGACGATTCCCAACATCAGAAAAGTGACAGCAACGTCAAATTTGACCAATGATGTGTCAGCGTAAGATGATAGCGATGTTTGAGAGGCCCAGAGAGTGTCTCACCGTGGAGGCAGTGTATCCCTCCTCAACCAGGATGTTTCTAGCACAGTTGTTGATGTGTTTGAAGCGGTCCGGACCCAAAAGGATACCTCCGTACCATCGGGACACGACCACCGCGACATTACGCACGTCCAGAATCTGTGGTGAGACACGAAATGAGTGGGAATTTGAGAAAGCCGGTGAGTGACAAATACAATAAATATGTGACACAACACCCTTCACTGACAACCATTTTCAAGAGGCCAGATATTTCACACTAGATTTGATCCAGTGGTTGATAAATCTTCGTTAAGTGTATCTGACTCAGGCCATCAGCTGTCACTCTAAAGCTGAATATGCGAGGGTATTCTTCTATTTGGCTATCCTCCACAGAGTTACACGAGAAAATGTAATTTCCCTTTCATCTTTGAGTGTCAGTGTCTAGCTCCAGGAAATGTTTAGCTGAGGTTAGCAGCACAAAGACGGGAAGGTTCAAGGTTTGATGTATCATCCATGAAATCATGGAGATTACACCACTCCCATCGTAATCAACCAATGCTGTTTATGAAAGATATAAATACCCACAAAACAACCATAAATGTCAACTGAAACAACATCAACCTAGAATCCACGAAGCAAAAAAAGACCAGTTAATTAAAGGGGCAGTCATAAAAACTCCATCAAAATAATAGTGAAAAAAAACTCTAATTAAAGCTGCTCTATTCAATGTTTTCATATTAAAGGGATAGTTCACATGTTCTGCAGTGTGCGTGTATGAGGTTCTCCTCCACAGTCAGGGTTCTACTACAGTAGATGAGTTGATAGAAACAGACAGGAGAACCAGCACGGGAGCAAAGTGATGTTCTGCTGTGGACGTATGTTAGACTCCTAACAGAATGTCAGTTGAAGTGAAGCTATATTCAGAATGTCTTCACCTCTTTACCTTGCTGTCAGACAGACCTTTCTGAGGGGAACTCAAGCTCTTATCTATGTTGTCGTCAGAGCCACCAGACTCCGGTCAGAAAAACAGTATTTTTACCTTGCAGACCACAGGAGTTGCTGGTCCACCGCTGCCTTGATCGGTTAGTTTGTTTGTGTTGTTGTTTGACTTTGGATGAATCCGAACAAACCTTTTAAAACACTAAAGTGACACAGTAACACAAACACACATTTGTTTGTACTCGCGCTTGGCATCGTAGTGTGAGCCTCCCTGGATGGCGTGCAAGCTCTGAGCATGAACGGAGGCATTTATACTCTCTGCGCTGTTTGTTGCATTATTCTCTGAAACGCCAGAGGGCGTTCGAACAAAATGAAGTGTGAAGAATCAAAAAGACAGCGAGTGTAACTCACAGATATGCTCATAGACTGAAGGTGTAACCGGCAAAAAGCCATAAACCAACCTCCACGATGACGAGGAGGGATCGTGATTATCTGTAAACTCATATCTCATATTCATGGACTACTTTATTGCCGTAGTACAAAACTGTCCAGAAACAAGACGAGTGTTAAATGCATTATAAAGAAACAAAGGTTGAATATCCTGTAAACCATTTGATTTGGCAGCAAATTATTTACTCGGATGAAGATTTTTAAGACCTTAAGAAATTGAAATAGTGCTTTTATCAGTGAACTATTTGTCACGTGACACACACGTGTCCTGTGTGCGCCAAGTTACAAAAATTCAGAGGTGCACAAACAAGCGCTCTTGCGTCCGTTCTTGCGTCCCTTTTTGCGCGATCACCTCATTTTCTGGCGCTCACGCCGGCTTCGCTGAGGCGAGTATTAACTAAGCTTAACCGACGGAGGCAGCGGTAGACCAGCAACTCGCGTGTTCTGTGACGTCAAATGTTTTTGTCGATGGATTCTTGTGGCTTCGAAGGGAGCATAGATGACTACAACGGCTTCAGTTACCCGTCCTAAGGGGCTGTCTGACGGCAAGGTACAGCTGTGAAGATATTCTAAATGTACCGTACACTTAACCTTTAACCTTTCACTACCTTCCTTGGGCTAAGCTTATAACATGGCCTGCCTCCTTCTACCAAACACGCAGAGGAGAAATTGACATTAATATTCTCCTAATAAATAGCAAATAAACAAAGTTACGCCCCAAATTGTCACATAAAGACGAGAATTTGACCCGGCACAGCAACACCCACACAGAAAGTGCAATATCATTGGAGGAGACCACATCTGGCTGCTGACACTATTAATCAGATCCTTTTTTTTCTTTTTATTCATTACGACACACTTCCACATACAGAGGCACAAATCTAAATGAGGAAACGGGAAGAAAGGCTTGTGGAGAGGAATGAGATTAGAGAAGAATAGATGAAGGAGAAAGCACTTCATGTAAATTGCTCAGTATGCTGAGAGTGTGACAAGTGGAAGATGAATCAGTGTGTTGCTCTGAAGGATGGAGCAGGAACTCCAGATACAGTAGGTCAGTCAGCTGCAGGAAGTCTTTTCATCTGCTCGAATCTATACTGTACGTCCACATTAGGTTAAGAGAAGCAGATATGTGCTGCAGTCAAAGAGTAAAATAAATATATATATATATATATATATATATATATTAAATCCCATGTCTTTTCCAAACCACTTTTCCTAGACCTTGATTGAAAACATCATGACGTCAAGGAAATATGTGAAGGAGGTTTGTCAAGGAAAAGAAAATGGCTGTGCTGAGAGAATCTGACGGCATTGACGCTACTTAACTACGCGATGGCGGATGTTACTGACGTGGGTCTGTCGAGGTGCAGTCGAAAGGAATTGTGTGACGGCGTCATCTCCTTTCCTTTGGTAAAGAATGGTCCAGTGACCTTTGCCGAAGGAGACAAGATAGGAACTATTTAAGCACCTCTCCTTAGCATTTTGGAGAATTCGACCAGCTCCTACCATGGCTGCCACGTCATTTCACTCAGTTATGAATGTTACAAAGCAAAAAAAAAAAAAGGAGTATTTGATCACAGACATGGTGTTTTTGGTGACTTGATCGCTCTGGTGCCTCTGGTTCGTTGCTATGGTCTCGTTGCTATGGTCTCTCCCATAATTACTCCCTCTGCAAGTGACAACCTCCTGCAGGGGGAGTAATTATGGGAAACAAGCTAATGCTGAAGTGCCTTCGTCCATCAGGGGGCAATTCCCCTGTTTGCAAAAAGAAGTCTGGTTGTATAGAAGTCTATGAGAAAATGACTCTACTTCTCTCTTGATTTATTACCTCAGTAAACATTGTAAACATGAGTTTATGGTCTCAATCTCTAGTTTCAAGTCTTCTTCAATACAGCATGATGTTCATTTAGTACATTATGGTCCATTTAGAGTCAAACAGACCATAAAGCAGGGGATGCTTTAGGGTGGGGCTACACGGTGATTGACAGGTCTCTAACAGAGCCGTATAAGGCATCTCTATGTCATTCCTTCTCATTTCAAATATAGTCACTTCCATTCACTGGTTGCAAAATACCAAGATGGCGCCAGCCAAAATCCAAGATTCTCGATGGCCGAAAAGTGGAACTCGAGGCTCCAAAACGGCAGTCCACAAACCACTTCCTGTTGTCTATGGTGTGAAGACATGCCAAACATGTTGGGGCTGAGGTCTCACCTGGAAGCATGAAAGACATCTTTAAAAGATGCACACTGCTGGACAAGCATCCATCATTTAATAGAGAGTGCGTCCTTCTAAGTAATTAAGGCAAATTCGGGCCAAAGAGTGCAGAGTGATGCGTTTTTTTTAAGTGCTGTCTTGGAAGGAAACACTGAATTAGTCGAAGACAGCTTGATTCATCTGAATTCTGTGCAGCGGATCACACATTCAGCAAGAATCCAAAGCACTAATTCCCAATAATTTATCCCTCCAACAGGGTCACACTGGCACAGACGACTACCGTCATCTCACAAATGAGTATGAACTTTGACACGAGTCATGGATCTCATCTGGAGGCGCTGTGATGCGACTCAGCACCTTCTGGTAATGAGAATGACAGAACTACTTCAAGTCAACGCCGAGCTCAACAAACCTTTCACTGGCCTTCATTCAATATTACAGCGAGACAAAGCGTGTGGACAATCGCACCTTCCAGTGTGATGTGGGTGTTTGTGTGTATGTGTGCGTATGTGTGCGTGTGTGTGCGTGTGTGTGTGAATCATCGCGCCATCTGACAGCACAAGTGCCTCTTTCAGATGCGGAATGAAAAGATTTAGTGAAATTGCTATCGTGGACTATTTCTCTGGAGAGACACGGAGGGGAACATTTACACATTATGTAAATACGAGTGGTGTTATACGAGAGCCAGTAACTGATGGAGATATTTCTTTCTGAAGAAGATAAGTTATTGTTTGGCTCTGCAATTTTCACATCATGATTTTAACTTCATGAGAGATCATGAAGGTGATGTACGACAATGAAATCAACCCTAACAAGCTAAGAGCAATTCAAGAAATAACCTAAAAATGATGATGTAATCGCTAATTAGTCAACATCAAATGTTACAAACTCATTTCTGGTTGCGTTTTCAAGGGGCTCGATCAATTAGTCAGATTTGTTTGTCGTTTTTCAAACACATTTGCTGAATACAGTTCTCAAATGTGTCAAATTTGCTGCTTTTCTCATTTTTCTAAAAGCATTCCTGTTTTCTTCCAGAAGAGATTTAATTTGCATAACTTGCTTACACACAATATATGCACCTCGTGTTTAGAGAACACGGAGAAAAAACAATCATGAATTTCTCACTTGCATCTCAGGGCTTCCGTAGTTTGAGCTGTTAGTTTACAAGAAATCAATAAACTAATCCATTGTATACTAACAGGAAGTGATGCAATACTTGCACAATCAACCTGTGACTTCTATTAGAGTAGACTTCTTCACTGTTGTGTACCTGTGTCGCTGCAGCTGTTTTCAACACTGTCAGCTGATTGTCATTCACAGATGCTGCGTCCGAAATTTAAAACTGCACTACAAACTCAATATGTGCATCGTTCAGCATACTCTCGTGTGAATAAAAATACAATTTGTTTCAGGTTTCAGACTTTTTTGCATACTAAATAGCACATTAGCGTTGGATGCAACCATTAACTGCAACAGGAAATGAACTGGGACACAGCACCGTCTTTAATAAAAAGGACTCGGTCCAGGCTGCTTTTCCTCAGGAAGCTTTTGATGTTATATCAGGTGACTCCGGCACCTTGTTTTATCAAAGCGTGTTAGCAAGCCTCCCACTTTATTTATTTCTATTTTATATTAAAATGATAAGGAAGGCAGAATCCATTACTGGCTTGGCCCCTGACTCGTTAGAAATGATCATGGAGCACAGATAAGGGAGGGAAGCTCAAGAGTAATATGCTAATTGTTCAGTATTTTTAGCGACAGGCTTGTTAAGCTCAGGTGCTCTTCAGAGAGATTCAGGAAGTCATCTGTGCCTGCTGCGGTGAAGCTTTTTTTGTTGCCGACTGTCACCGTTCTCTCACATTTGCCATCATCATTGAACATTAATTTAAAAATCAATACTCATTGCAGCCCTGCAACCAACATGTGTTGTTTTATCCATTTTGTTTTTTACCCAACATGTTTCCTGGACCACATCTCCCCTCACCTCTTAGATTTAGGCCACGATAGCACACAATGTTCCCATGTGAACTGACAAAGAGGCCTCTCAGCCTTACAGGTGGTGAAATAGTAATCATCAACATTGACGGAGAAGTAACCTGCTGTCACATCACCTGGAATGAGTAACAGTAATATCTTTTTTAAATATCTGTAAAAATATCACTTTTTTGTGATGTAAAATGTACAATTAGCATGAGCATAGTATACCGTCTGTGTTTTCCGTACACAATATATAGTTTAATATCACATACATATACTGTGTTGGCTTTAAAGCTCACGTCAGACTAGTAGAGAACTACCACAGAACAGAGAAGTGATTTCTCAGAATGTGTGGAACACCTGCTTACTCGTAACAATTTAAGAGCCACAGTAGATGCCAAATAGTGCTGGTGGTGAAAATGAACAAGGCGGCTGAGAACAGATGCCAACTCAGCCGGCAGAAGGCAAAAGACAGTTGGATGAAGCTGGCAAATTTAACAATGTGTTTGGAACATTAATTTTGGGCAAAAGTTTTATGTGTGCTGCACTGACTCGCTCATCAGATCTTTTTCCCTTTTAGACAAATGCAACATGCATTTAAAGTTACTGTGAGGAGCTTTTATCTGGTCCTGAACCAGTCTCAGTGTAGTCCTGATCCTCTATCAGACTTTAATCGCATGCCTTCCCTGATTTCAAATGATTTTAGTTTTTATTCAGTTTCAGAGGTTTTAGTATTTCATTACGTATGTTGCTCTTTTATTACTTTTATTTTGATATTGCTGTTTTTTTTGTATTTGTTTTTATGTGAAGCACTTTGTAACTGTTTTTGAAAGGTGTTATATGAACAAAGATATTATTATTATATCATTTTTACATCTCTTCTCCACAGGGACCGCCAAAATCAACACTGGAGTTCCTCGCAGTAGCTTTAAGTACGCAGCTGAAAAGAATGATCTGTTGTGCGGCGTCAATATTTAGTTAATGAAATGAGAACCTGCAGTAAGTGGAGCAGCCTCCCCCCCGCGGCTGTCTCTCCGTCGTCCTCACAGTCCTGCAGGAAGCTGTTCTTATCCTCGCAGTAAATCCTACAAAACAGACAGAATCGTAACAGCTTGAGACGTTTTGGTAAGAGAGTGATGCCGTGACACACCGGCAGCAACTTTAAATGTCAGCGGTAATGACCGCCCAGTCGGTGAATGAGCGGCTCCACATCGACCTCATTAGATCATACTGACGAAAAAATACAGGCAGACACACGGGACATATACGCACACGTCTATTCATATAACCCACTGTGCCATCAGCCTTCTCTTTTTGTTGAACTTTGAGCAGCGATGTGCCCTTTAGAGAAGACGTACAGGCCTCCACTCGTCACGTGTTCTGTACCGACACACTGGAGCAGTGACCTGAGAGTGTTAGCACGGTGTGCATAGTGAGATAATGACAGACCTCGGGTCGTATACAGTATACGTGACATTACTGACCTGTATGCATAAATATTATGAGTGGCACTGGCAATCTTCTTGTTCTCATACAGCTTCCCCAGGAGCATTTTAACCTGCAACACACAACGGGAGGTACACCGTGACGTCATTCCTCGCTTCACATGCCTTTTACATCCACTTGAGGATTCTTTATTTTTTCATCTCTACCTCAGCACAGTGTTAAATATAAAGTGCTTTCATGCTGAACCCCGAGTGGCCGTGTGATGTGAGCAAGGAGTCAATTTAAAAACCAAGTCACTTTGAAAAGTGATGCAGACGACAACTTGTGACGTCAACATGCCGTCTGACGCTGCTGACTAGTGAACAAAACCATATATGGTATATCATATATGGTTTTGTTGTCTATAGACAACAGTCTGGACGACCCCTCTGGTGCAACATGATGACTTTTTGAGAGCAAACCTCCTGCATCTTGTGCAATAATTGCATTTAATGTGGTGCAAAATACATTGTATTCATTTCTTTTACATGTGTTGTCGGCTGTGAATGTTTGTTTGCTGAAGTCGTTTTGTTATAGTAGCGTCTTTTTAATTGCACCGATCAGAAGTAGCGCTCCTGATTTTGTATTCTGTACAACAACAACAACAAAACCTTTCTATTCTATTTCATACTGAATGTAACTGCGCCAAAGAATGTGGACGTGTGTTTCCAACTTCAGGAAAAGTATAGCGGGCCGTGTGAACCGTTCTGGGACGAGACTTTTTACTTGTATTTACTTTAGCTAGCAGTAGCTACAGAAAGGTAAGACACAACACTGGAAATTAAAAATAGAAGGCATTTACGGGCCACACAAGGTCTATTTCCTAGACACCGCCCCCCTCACCTTTCAGCCAATCGCATAGCTCCTTTCTTAAGATCGTGAGATGAGATCCTCTGTAGCTTTAGAGCAACAACAAAACCAGAGTAATCTAATTCAATTAAAGTCAGCATCAACATCATCATGACATCACAAAATCAAGTGTAACATAAAAATAGATTGATTAGGTTTATAAAAAAATAAAGACAGCGGGACTGTATTATTTTATTAACTATAATGTAAATGATTGCAAAAGTTACTGTAAACTGCATAACTAGTTAACTCTTTGCAGTTGTGAGTTTCAATGTCAATTTATTTGTTTTACTTGTGTATGCACAAAGGCAAAAAAATGAATTAATTATTTAAATAATTTAAAGTTTTATTTATCATTTTACACAATTTATGAATGTGTTTATTTATTTTACAATGCCTGATTTAATTATTGAATATTGAACTCTCTGGGCCTCCATACAGTAACAAATTAATAAAGCTGCTCGGGATAAAAAGCCTCAAAAGTGAGCAAGTCTCCACTTTTCTCTCTTTTTCTCAGTTATATCTTTGGTTGAACAGAACGCTTCGTGTATGTAAATGCTGTGCAGGTCACAGTCTATTCAGTGCATCTGTTCTCTGGAGGACGGCTGCGTCAGTAAATATTTTTGTCTAATAGCACTCCAGAGCAGGTGGAAGCTTTCAGTACGAGCCGGTACGTTCCCACAGAGCCACAGAGGGAGATGAGCGTGCAGCAGATGATGTTTGACTTTGTGAAATCGCTGCGTGAATAAGCACATTTATCTCAAAGATCTCCATGAAGTCATTGCTACTGGAACTCAGACGAGCTGCCGTTAGCCATTTGTCTTCATGGTTTGACATTTATGTATTTTGTACCTGTCTGGGAGTCACCACAGGTGCTAAGTGAGGCTGGAAGGTGCTGCGTCGGTCTGTGATGGTGTTTCCATGTTTTATGGGAGGAGCCTCTTCATCTACGGGACAAGATGTTACAAACCAGAGAGATGCGTTTTACAATAAGCTGTGTTTCATGTTTAACGCAACTAAAGTGTGTCAAACTGTAGCGGACGGTACCGTTTGCATGATCCATGAAAAGATGTACATTTTCTGTGTTGAGCTTGAGAGTCCTGAAGTCTGGTACGTCTTCATCATCTTCATCGTCCACTTCCTCTTCAGCCGTCATGTTCACCTTCTCTGAAGGATCCACTGCAGCCGGTCATGTAAGAAACATGAACTCTTGTTGAGGTGAGACACTTTACTTTGTTAGTCTTCTTTCAGACTAGAGGAGAGAAAACATCCTAAATACACATTCAGCTGTTTATTTTACTACGTTGTCTATTGTCTGTTCTGGTGATGTATGTAAATTAGCACATATTTAATTACAAAACAATGAACCTTGTTTGCATATTTAAAGGAACATTTCTTCACCTGTAGTGTGTGTCCTTTAGAGAAAGGCCTGTTTGTTTCCTTCGTCCTAAACCTCAGGCCTGAAGGTCTTCACTGAGTCGTCTACAAACAAGGACGCTTGTCATTAAAATGACACCTACTGAGCAACTTATTACCAAATTAAATTACCATTACGTGACCTTAACATTGACACCAAAATGGCTTCATGACCTATGACACCACGACAAACTATTCATAATGGATGACACTAATTACTAGAAGAAAGGATTAGAGCCCGAGCAAGGATTACGCAAATTTGAACACTGCGCCCCGAGTCCAAAATCCCACGAAATATGTTTGTCCGTCCCTCAATACCTTCCAACTTCCACCGCCTTTCACCCCAAAGCCCAATGGTTCCTACTGAAGATAAGAAGAGAATATATAGTTTCATTGAAAAAGGGGAAAGTGTGATTACTGAATTAGTTTGGGATCATTTTCAGCCATGGGTTGTTTTACATTTGGTGCTCTAAAGTAGAGTCACTTTCATTGTTTTATTTTCTCACTAGAATCTCTCTGAATGTTCCTCAGAGCAGATCTGAGTTGATAAAATGTTGATACAATCACATTTGCTGTCTTAAATTGATTTAATTATAAGTCTTTTGATGTGGATTTGATGATACAAAGTATAGAACATCACCAGACTAATTCCTTAATGTTCTACATGAGAAGAAGGTTGATCCATGATCAAAGTTGAACTGGTTTAAAAGCGACAATGTAAAGTTGAGTAACACCTGTAGTGTTTATTCTACGCGTGCATATACACACATAGAAACTATCATAACCATCTATCTACACAGTATAATCTATGAAAAGTAAGGCGTGACTTCATATTTAGGTGAACAAACAAACCTTTGGTCTCTCTGATGTTTTTCATCCCTTTCTGGTCTCCTTCAAACCCAACTTCATTATCATCATTATATGTCCTGTTATGTTTGCTCCCTTTTCATTTCCTTTTCTATGTAATGTGCATTTCTAGCTTTATCAACCCCCCCCCCACACTCTCTCTCAACCACGTCCGTCCCATCTGAATGGCAATAAGGTGTCAATCTGGCTCCTCTGAGTGCTGTGGCCGGTTATACTTATTACCACATCAATCGCAGAGAGAGGACAATTCAAACCAGCCAATAACAGTGAGGGCAGTTACTTTTCAGGCTTGTTGCTCAAAAGAGAGCAGAGTCGGCCTGGATAATGGATACCGCCGGGACTCGGCCGCAGATAACCGAGACGGATCAGACTCCCCGAGAAAACACTGATGCACGGTGACACTTGTAGAGAAATGTAATTTGGGTATCTTTTACTCTTTTTACACTTGAAAGGATTCTGCCAAGGTAAGCCATTACATAGATATTGATCATAATTCAATGCAGTCACTCAAAGTCAGACCCAGCGGGTTTTCTTTCTTTAATGCACCCGACCGGCCTTTGTGCTCATCTTATCACATCTTTAGACCACATCAGATGGCGGTGGTACTAATGGAGGAACATCTCAGCAGAGGTAAGATGGAAGACACATTTAGAGACACGGGTAGGGAAGTAGATTATTCCTGATACGACTATCTCCTTATAACAAACGATCTAATAATTTAGCTGCTGATAAACAGTGGGCTTTATCAGAGCCAAGCTGTTAACATGTGTGGATGTTATCATTTACTTCACGTCTCAATCCCACGGCGTCAAATACAGACACTTTGTCCCGCCCCTTTAGCGCCTGAGAGACACACGACGGGCTTCCATGTAACCACAATGTAAACCCATTCCACGTCTTCAGTAGACGCTCAGAGAAAATGCTCCTGGAATGTGATGACGTAGTATATTGACGGGTGAAATTGGGTGGATGGGTCATACAAACACAGGACTTTAAAATAAGTCAACACAAAGGGTCCTGTGTGTCCTGCGGGAATGAGAACAGGTTGATACCAGGCAGCAACCTCCGGTTCTGCTGAGTAAAGCCGATGCGATGAATGTCGGCCAAGTGTGAGTTCAAGTCATCACAAACTGCCTGAGTAAGAGTGTCCCTCAAGCGATGAATTTCATTTGTCACACCTCACCTGTTCCTGAGCTCCGGGATTTCTCCACGAGGAATTCTCGAATTCTTTCCACCCACAGGTACAGGATGCTCTCCCCCACATGCTCCCTGTCGAAAAATGAAATGAATGATGAGGGCGGATTATTTCCGAGAGACACAGACCAGAGAAATTAATTGTACGGTAGAAACAATCACGTGAAGCTTTCTGTTGTTGTGGTTAATACCACCACTGCGGTTCCTGGTGGATAAGTCAGAGAGCACTCACACGTAGAGGTCTTCCAGGCTGCTGGCCAATTTGGCCCTCTCAGGGCCTCGCAGCCACGCTGCACTAGAAAAGACGAGAGCAAACAGAGGGTTATCAAGTAGGAGGACGAGTGGGATGTTCTATCAATTCAGCAGATCTGTGCGGAGATTACAAAGGCAAATACACTCACTTCATCTGGTAGATGGGCGGAGCGGCGCTCGGATAATCAGGTGGGAGAATTATCTGATCAATAACAGAGAACATTTTTAAAAAAGTAATAAACTGGATTTCAAACAAATACCAATGCCAGAAACTTTTGATTAATAAATATATATGATTATTTTTCTCTCTACCTGCAAACATGCTGTCAGTTTTGACTCCTCCAAGTCATCGGATATTTTGATGCAAAATATTCTGGACGCTTCATCTATGACGCACCACTCGTCTCCATAGATGGAAGACAGAGCCTCGACCTCTTCCATCTAAACCAGAGGAAGCAATAACAAAGCAAAAACATCCATCATAGGCGTCGACGTGAAGTGATCCATGAAGACTTTTTGATTAGTGATGTGCGGAAGGCGAAAATGTATCATTTAAATCCAACTGCAACCTGACACATCAAAAGCACACAGTTGTCCACTGGAGGGAAGGGAGGCACGGGAGAACCAGGACTGAGCGGGGACAGACTGTCAGACCCCGCTGCAGTAAAGTGAGAGGTTTCCTAAAGGGACTCTGATGCTCAGAAACACTACCACTTCCATCCACAGGGACCGCCAGAACCAACACACAATTAAAGTTCCTCTAGTAGCTTTAAACTAGAACTAACCTCAGTTTAGTCACAGACAGAAACATTTGACTTTGCGGAAAGAATAAATATCTGGTGATGTTTGCAAAACCCAGACGGTCATTTAAAGCAATATTTCAACTTTTTGGGGAAATATGCTGAGACGCTATGTTGCTCTCATGTCTGTACAGTACACATGTAGTTGCAGCATTGCTTTAAGTAAGATATTTTTTTAAGTTAAGTGAAAAATGAACATTGAATCTATGCAAGAACACACAAAAAGTTGTATAATCATTTTTACTATATTTAAAGCAAACAATGACCACTTAGAGTAACTTACATCACATTCAAATGCATTATAACAGTGACTATTATGCATTATAAAAATACTATAATGTATTACAACTATAGAAACTATACTACGATCCTTACAGTGAGTGACCGGCACTTATGATACTTGACCTCATAAGTCACAATAAAATGCTTTATGTGTTATGGTTATTGTTATAAAGCATTATGAATGTTCATTACTATAATTAAACAGTTATATAATCAGATTATAACACATTGTAAGTATGTGTATAATGCAGTATAGACACAAAATGTCCCAAGTTGCACCGTCAAATAACCCTCCTTGTTTCACAAATATAACTAATACATACACAAACACACACACACACACACACGAACACAGACACACAACGCACTGTGCTGATGTGTGGAGTCTGTGTGAACCGTGCAGCACCTGCTGGGCTTCAGACATCACCTGTATATTGTGTTAATGAAGCCAGACACCTTGGGGCCAACCTGCAGACTGTGTGTGTGCGTGCGTGTGTGTGTTGTTTCAGATGTGAAAGCGTGAACGGATTTATTCTCAGTGCTATTTGATCTAATTTAAAACCGCCTGCTGCTGGACCTCTGGTTCACCTGCCACACAGGTACTGTTTGGCGCATACGCTCTCTGCAGGCCACTTTCAAATACTACACACAAAACAAGACTTTGAACGCAACTTGCCAAGTTGTCCTAACTCCAACAGCGAGGCTGTAAAAGCAAACCCATCTTACTTGATCCTGAAGATCTCCTTCATTCTCCTCATTTATGAAGTCGGCCATTAGTTCAGCTAAATGTCAGCTATCAGAAATATGAAACTAAGTCAGTCAATAAACAGTTTACTTTAAATCTAAGGCACATGAAGTACATGTTGACGTCCAGCCTGCATGCATGATGTGTGGAAGGCTAAAGAGCTTCCAGGGCGAAGGGTCCCTCTCAACAAAGTAATAGCATTACGACAAAGACAAAGCAAAGGACAAAGCGTTTCTAACGACGCATTTGGTCTATAAATCCATAACTGTTAATTACTCATAATGTGTAAAAGAAAGCGCGACTTGTACGTCGCTGGAAGTTTCGTTCTGCGTTTGAAATAGCGGGCGGAGCTTTTATTTTGAAAGGCGCGAACTACTTTCCCAGGTCAGTTCCGCTTTGCGCAGATCAGCTGATGTCCGTGTAAACAGAGAAACAGGCGCGTGTGTGTGCGTGTGTCAGAGACAGACGGCTGTATTTCGCCATCGGTCACCTCAGCGTGATTTTCAAAGACGTTAATCGGGGGGTGATTGAGTGACAGCGTGATGTTTGACGTGACAGCGTGATGCGGAACGTGACAGCGTGATGTGCCTGCGGCTCGTGCTGCAGTAGGGCAGCAGGAAGCGGCTCAAGAGGGGCTTAAAACATCACATGCAGCTCCGCAGAGGGGCCTGTGTGAGAGCGTGAACTGCTCTGGATTGTGACTTCTCAGGACTGGAACAGTGGAAGCAGTAAGTGTCCTGTTTGCTGATTAGCTGCTGATGTGTTAGCTTTCTTTCAAACAAAATATTTATTGAATTTAAGAATAAAACAAAATTAATAAAACAAACAGTAGTAAGAGAAACCTTACAACTCCAATCAACATGTAGCTTACTGGAGGTAACAGCTGGTGCAAAGTAACTACCTCTAAGTAGCATGTATGTACTCCAGTACTCTGGCTGTGGCAATTTATTGATATCAATATTCAATCAATATATGAGACTAGATATCGTCTTAGATTCTGGATATGTGTGTTGTCTTGGCTTTGGTATCTGATGCCAGTGTTTGATCAATAAGCTGTCTGTGTGTGTGTGTGTGTGTGTGTGTGTGTGTGTGTGTGTGTGTGTGTGTGTGAATGACTGTGATCATTATATTATGTGTGAGGCAACATCAGGCTTGACATTGGTTCATTAACTTTGTAAAACAAAATGCAATAAATATATCCATAGATACAAATTTAGTGAATTTTGATTTCTTATTAAAATAATAAATTGTACACCAGCAACTTGGTAAAAGGAATTATAATTAAAGTGTGAACCTTTTTAAATGCAGCAACAAATTGGTCAAAACATAAACAGGAATATTCGAGTATATAATGTGTATAGTATACAAACATAGAAGCTGTTAGAGTATCGGCCCGATATCCGATCCGGTGCATCCCTATTTCAAATTCTGCGTTTCAGTGAAGTTTTACAATTTTCTGAACTTACCAGACTGTTCTAGCGGTTCTATTATTTACTTTTACCCACTAAGTGATCATATCCACATTACTGATTATTACTTATCATAAATAAATATGTAAATATTTTGTAAAAGCACCAAAAGTTAACCCAACAATATCGTCTCAATATCAATATCGAGATAATCTGCAAAGATATTGTGATATTTTCCATATCGCCCAGCCCTATCAAGTACTTTGGTATGATTTTGAGGTACTTGTACTTCACTTGAGTATTTCCATTTCCTGCTGCTTTATGCTTCTTTCTACTCCACTAAATCTCAGTTTATGTGATTCCTTTAATTACTGGTTACATCGTAGATTCAGATTCATAATTCTAAATATATTTTCCAAACCGACGACTCTACATTATGAAGTATTGTTATGTAACATACATTTGTCTGAAACGGGGCATTCTTCAAATCTGTAGAGGATCTGGTTGCCCTCACACATCTTGAAAATATCAACACCTACATCAGAATGATGTTTGTTGATTCCCCCCCCAAGCTCTTTTTAAAGTGACTCTTCAAATCTCCAGCGTTCGGCCTGGAGTCGTCGTCTCGGGTTGTATTTCTTACAAGTCATCATCCGTCATTGTTTAGGACACGTGAGGAAGAAAAGTCAAGGGGGAAAGCAACTGTCAGAATGATGACAGAAGGTGGCAGTCACCGGACCAGCTTTACAGGAAGGAAACAAGTCATCCCTTTCCCCTTTACACAGTCCAAGTGCACATGACGTTCTGTATTTGCGGTAAAACTCTGGTAAGCAGAGAGGAGGGAAAGAAACAGAACGTTTGCTTTATGTAACGTTATGGAATGTCACATGGCTATGCCGAAGAATTAATGAAGCACGTCAACAGCAGGTGACAAAATCAAACGAAGAAAGCCCCGACTGGCACTCAAACAGGTTTACCTGGGATTGAAAAGCATGTGACTAACTGTTACTCAGCCCATCTGTCTGCTTAACACGACGATCAATGGGAAACACCTGTAAACTGTGATTACACCACATTATGATCAGGATACATTTAGAGCTTAATATTCAAAATCCTGATTTAATTTGTATTTTCACTCATTTATTGTGATTTTTAATATAATCTCTCAATTTACTCTCAGTCTTTGGAATTAAACAAGTGGGGCCAACTAAGCTAAATAAGTGTTGTAATTTGTCCCAAATTGACCTTCACAAATCTAGAAAGTTTATAGCAATTAATTCAACATCCATTGATGCTAAAAATGTAACGACGCTGGCAGCGAAACGTTTTGTGGAGCTTTGACAGCCACAACCAGCTGTGCATTGAGAAAGGAGAGAAGAAGAAAAAGTGGGCGTTCTTGTGTCCCACGAGCCAATCAGAGCAGTGGGCGTTTCCCAGTGCTTGTCACCGCTGCGATCAGTCTTTACTCATTTATTTCTTGAATTTTCTTCACATTTGGCACAAACATCCACTTGGACTCGAGGATGAAGTGATCCTGAAAGCGCCCTGTGACCTCACAAAACATCTTTCGGCCATAACTCAAGAATTCATGGGATAATTATGACAATTTCACACAAATGTATATTAGATGATGATATTAAAATGATGGCATTTGGAACAGACGTGCGTGTAAACTGCAACTTGACTGGTTGACGGAGGCGAACAACAGCGAGGCGGTTGTTCTAGTTTTAATCTATCTCTTGTGAGTTCCTTAACTTTATGAAAGTGGCACATTTAAACACTTAAACTAGGATTCAAAGTTTTCTTACCCAGAACTCAAATGTTCCCGAGAAAAACCTTCAGGCTCATAATCCGCTTTCTTGCCATTTAGCTCTAAGTGATTCGTAATAAGCATGAACTTCCTATAGCTTCTAGGTTTTCTTTTCAGGGACTCTGTGCACGTGTCCTTCTGAAAGCCTCTTTTTGATTACAGTCGAGTCACAGAAATGAAAAGCATCTCTTTTTTTTTTTTTTCTCCTTCTCTCTGCGTTTCCTCCGCAGGGGTCCATGGAGGCGCTGGAGCCGGAGGAGCAGTTCCTGCAATTCGCCCGGAACGGAGATCTGCGGGGGATTCAGAGGCTCCTCATGTCTACGATCAGAGAGGAGACGCACATCAACATCAACTGCAGAGGTACACGAGTAACACTTTTCAGTAAACACTATCATAGTGTGTGTGTGGTGTAACACAGTGTGTACTGTTGTCTAAGGTAAGAGGAAGTCTAATCTTGGATGGACGCCTCTTCACTTGGCCTGTTACTTTGGACACAAAGATGTGGTGGAGGAATTACTGAAGGTAGGGTTTCTTTACACACAAACAACAACAAAACATTTTAACTAAAAGGCTAACGTGTGTGTTGTAACCCCGCATACAGGCAGGTGCAGATGTTAACTTGCCCAATAATGTCGGCGATTCTCCGCTGCACAAAGCTGCCTTCACAGGACGAAAGGTACCTCAACGCCACTCAGATTCTAAGTCTCTTTCTACTCTTCTTGTCTCTTTGTTGATAGTGTGGTTGTGTGCATGCATTTATTCATCCAGTCAATCAATCAATCAATCAATGAAACAATCAATCACGTATTGATCAGGAGGTTGTCATGCTGCTGCTGCACTATGATGCATGTGCTACTGTCATCAATGGGACAGCACAGATTCCCAAAGATGTCACTCAAAATGCAGAGATCAGAGGCATGTTGGAAGGTGAGAGAGAGAGACGCCGTCCTCTAAATTCATGGAAACATAAATGTATCAATCTCCACGTTTGATGTTTTGATATTCAGCCATACAAGTTGTTTATATGATGTATGGATTCTAAAATCGTCCCACTCGTTCTCTTCCACATCCCATCATTTTACTGACACAAGCGGCCGAGAGAACGGAGGAGAGGAAACTGGAGGAGGAGCTCCTGGAAGCTGCACGAGAAGGAGACCTTTCGACTTTAACTCAGCTGGTTAGTGCAACTCAGGTTCTGAAAAGTGAATCCGATGCTGGTGTGTTAAAGCTGCATTCTCTCTACTGGCCATCAGGGGGCGACTCCTCTGGTTGTATAGAAGTCTATGAGAAAATGACTCTACTTCTCTCTTGATTTATTACCTCAGTAAACATTGTAAACATGAGTTTATGGTCTCAATCTCTAGTTTCAAGTCTTCTTCAATACAGCATGATGTTCATTTAGTACATTATGGTCCATTTAGAGTCACACAGACCATAAAGCAGGGGATGCTTTAGGGCGGGGCTACACAGTGATTGACAGGTGTCTACATGGCGTCCATGTTTTCGTCCTAGAATTTTAACCCTTTCACAGTGTGTTTTCACTTCATGGAAGTTAATTGTAACATTTTGGTTGCATAATAATGTCTCATTCATACCGCCCTCTTGTGTCACTTCTGGTTGCAAAAAAACAATATGGCGACGACCAGAAACCAAGATGGCTACAGCCAAAATGACAAACTCTAATCCTAACCCTTCTTATATACAGTCTATATACAGGTTTTTATTATTATTATTATTATTATTATTATCATTATTATTATTATGCCACTGTCACTGTGAGCATGTTAGCATGCTCACAGTGACTAGTATAAAGACTAGCACGCAGTCGACTACACCCTTTAAATCTCAGTGACTGCAGCACATTGTCCATGAAAACCTCATTAGGAAACTGCTCTAAAGAAAAAATAAATATATGTATTTACAATATGTGCCAAAAGAAATGCACACAAATGGATACTGGCAGAAAAGTTTTGAGCAGCCTTAACTCTTTCCAGCTCTTGGAGACGGAGTAAGAAATCCCAGTCGTGCTTCAGCTCTGAGCGGCTCAATAACGACCTGCGTGACATTTGGCATCAGGCGATCCATCTGTTTTTTTTGTCCTGTGTGTTCGCTGCAGCTCAGCAGGAAGAAGACCCCAGATATCAACTGCACAGACCTGCTGGGAAACACTCCGCTGCACTCTGCGGCCTATCGAGGCCAGAAGCAGTGCGCCCTGAAGCTGCTCAAGAGTGGAGCCAGCCCCAACGTCGAGAACAAGAAAGGTTATTAGCTAGAGATGATCATGAGTCACTCCTGTGTTTAAAGGAAACACTGTCTTTATTCTGCCCACGGAAAGACCAAAACCAACAATGGATAGATCCTGCTAACAATGATTCCTATGTAGTTTATTCCTCTGTGCCACCGAGCCACAAACACGTCAATTAACCTCACTGTTGGCTGCAATGTGCTGGAGGGTCAGAGCAGCAGGATGCACATTGATGATTTTAATCTTTGTCAATTGTCAATTGTCAGAAAAATATATTTAAAAGAAATTTGTTATTAAGATATCGTCCAAGAAACTTACCTGGATGATCACTTACATTGAGACAATTGTTTGTTTTTTTTAATACACGTTTTCTGAAATGTTATGTTAAAATATCCAAATTAGGCATTTTCTTATTAAATATGTGCTAATTTTCATACATTTCCAAAACAGAAATCTAAACATTCTTGTTTCACTTTGTTGACATATTGGAGTCAAAGGTTTTTACATTCATGATATCGCTTTATATCTCTCCATGAAATACTGTCAACAGACATAAAATAATCCTTGTTCTCCATGTTTTATTAATAAATGATGTATAAATGAGTGTGTGAACAAACCCCTCTGTGTGAACCTTCAGCACACAGAGAGGAATGAAAGAGTAAAGTTTGGTGAATGTAAGAGCTGCTGAAGTGGAGATTTATCATCAGAGTCTGAGAACAAACTCATTTAGAGGAAACGTCCTTTAAAGAGACGTTTAGTTCCATTACAGACATTTAGAGACTCTACAGGTGAATTACCTAGATTTGTCTTTAAATAACCCTTAAATTTCAATGTGTTTGTGTGTTCTTTTGTACTAAAGCCCCACTTGTCTTGTTCGTCCACAACTCACAGGCCAGACAGCGTTCGACCTCGCTAGTGATTCAGCAATGAAGCTGGTCCTTGAAGGCAACGCTCATCGGGTGAGTGCTCCGTCGACGGTCGGGCTTTCTGATGTTGCTTTGATTTGTTGTCTGATTTTGTTTTGTTGTACATCCCTCGTGTTTCTCATCTGTGCTCCTTGCAGGGTATGACCCGGCATGTCAAGAAGTGCGAGGGACTCCTCTGGAAGGTGCGATATGCTGCTGTGCTCTCTCTCTCAGCCGCCATAGAAATCAGTAAAGACTGAACAATGATAGAAAATCACCGATATTCAGACTGCTGATTCTTCTCTTGTGCGTCCCGCAGAGCTCCAGATTTTTTGGCTGGCGCTCCTACTGGGTCGTCCTCCAAGACGGGGTTTTATCCTGGTACTCAAAGCAGTAGGTGGCAACTCTCACCTTGCCTGTGCTCCTTGAATCACATGAAAACATGTCAGCAACAGATAAATGGAAGTACTGCACACTTTTGATTAGAGAGGCGCTGGAAGTGACAGAATCCTTTCTATTTTTTAACTGGTATATCTGTCTTCTGTACCACCATTAGAAATGTGTCAGGACCTCACCTCTCCTCTCTCTCTCTCTCTCTC